CTACACACTGTTCCTCACCCCAGCACCCAGCTCCTGCTACACATGTTCCACACCCCAGAGACCCCAGCTCCTGCTACACACTGTGCCTCACCCCAGCCCCCAGCTTTTGTTAACACACTGTTCACATCCCAGCCCCCCGCTCCTGCTACACACTGTTCCTCACCCCAGCCCCCAGCTCCTGCTACACACTGTGCCTCACCCCAGCCCCCAGCCCCCAGCTCCTGCTACACACTGTTCCACACCCCAGACCCCAGCTCCTGCTACACACTGTGCCTCACCCCAGCCCCCAGCTCCTGCTACACACTGTTCCACACCCCAGCCCCCAGCCCTTGCTACACACTGTTCCTCACCCCAGCCCCCAGCTCCTGCTACACACTGTTCCACACCCAGCCCCCAGCTCCTGCTACACACTGTTCCACACCCAAGACCCAGCTCCTGCTACAACACTGTCCTGCTACACACAGCCCCAGCTCCTGCTACACACTGTTCCTCACCCCAGCCCCCAGCTCCTGCTACACACTGTTCCACACCCCAGCCCCCAGCTCCTGCTACACACTGTTCCACACCCCAGCTCCTGCTACACACTGTTCCTCACCCCAGCCCCCAGCTCCTGCTACACACTGTTCCACAACCCAGACCCCAGCTCCCCACAGCTCCTGCTACACACTGTTCCACACCCCAGCCCCCAGCTCCTGCTACACACTGTTCCTCACCCCAGCCCCCAGCTCCTGCTACACACTGTTCCACACCCCAGCCCCCAGCTCCTGCTACACACTGTTCCACACCCCAGCCCCTGCTACACACTGTTCAACACCCCAGCCCCCAGCTCCTGCTACACACTGTTCCTCACCCCAGCCCCCAGCTCCTGCTACACACTGTTCCACACCCCAGCCCCCAGCTCCTGCTACACACTGTTCCACACCCCAGACCCCAGCTCCTGCTACACACTGTTCTCACCCCAGCCCCAGCTCCTGCTACACACTGTTCCTCACCCCAGCCCCCAGCTCCTGCTACACACTGTTCCACACCCCAGCCCCCAGCTCCTGCTACACACTGTTCCACCCACACCCCAGCCCTTGCTACACACTGTTCCTCACCCCAGCCCCCAGCTCCTGCTACACACTGTTCCACACCCCAGCCCCCAGCTCCTGCTACACACTGTTCCACACCCCAGCCCCCAGCTCCTGCTACACACTGTTCCTCACCCCAGCCCCCAGCTCCTGCTACACACTGTTCCACACCCCAGCCCCCAGCTCCTGCTACACACTGTTCCACACCCCAGCCCCCAGCTCCTGCTACACACTGTTCCACACCCCAGCCCCCAGCTCCTGCTACACACTGTTCCTCACCCCAGCCCCCAGCTCCTGCTACACACTGTTCCACACCCCAGCCCTCAGCTCCTGCTACACACTGTTCCTCACCCCAGCCCCCAGCTCCTGCTACACACTGTTCCTCACCCCAGCCCGCAGCTCCTGCTACACACTGTTCCTCACCCCAGCCCCCAGCTCCTGCTACACACTGTTCCACACCCCAGCCCCGAGCTCCTGCTACACACTGTTCCTCACCCCAGCCCCCAGCTCCTGCTACACACTGTTCCTCACCCCAGCCCCAGCTCCTGCTACACACTGTTCCTCACCCCAGCCCCCAGCTCCTGCTACACACTGTTCCTCACCCCAGACCCCAGCTCCTGCTACACACTGTTCCACACCCCAGCCCCCAGCTCCTGCTACACACTGTTCCACACCCCAGCCCCCAGCTCCTGCCACACACTGTTCCACACCCCAGCCCCCAGCTCCTGCTACACACTGTTCCACACCCCAGCCCCCAGCTCCTGCTACACACTGTTCCTCACCCCAGCCCCCAGCTCCTGCTACACACTGTTCCTCACCCAGCCCCCAGCTCCTGCTACAAACTGTTCCTCACCCCAGCCCCCAGCTCCTGCTACACTGTTCCACACCCCAGCCCCAGCTCCTGCTACACACTGTTCCACACCCCAGCCCCCAGCTCCTGCTACACACTGTTCCACACCCCAGCCCCCAGCTCCTGCCACACACTGTTCCACACCCCAGCCCCCAGCTCCTGCTACACACTGTTCCACACCCCAGCCCCCAGCTCCTGCTACACACTGTTCCACACCCCAGCCCCCAGCTCCTGCCACACACTGTTCCACACCCCAGCCCCCAGCTCCTGCTACACACTGTTCCACACCCCAGCCCCCAGCTCCTGCTACACACTGTTCCTCACCCCAGCCCCCAGCTCCTGCTACACACTGTTCCTCACCCCAGCCCCCAGCTCCTGCTACAAACTGTTCCTCACCCCAGCCCCCAGCTCCTGCTACACTGTTCCACACCCCAGCCCCCAGCTCCTGCTACACACTGTTCCACACCCCAGCCCCCAGCTCCTGCTACACACTGTTCCACACCCCAGCCCCCAGCCCTTGCTACACACTGTGCCTCACCCCAGCCCCCAGCTCCTGCTACACACTGTTCCTCACCCCAGCCCCCAGCTCCTGCTACACACTGTTCCTCATCCCAGCCCCCAGCTCCTGCTACACACTGTTCCTCACCCCAGACCCCAGCTCCTGCTACAAACTGTTCCTCACCCCAGCCCCCAGCTCCTGCTACACTGTTCCACACCCCAGCCCCCCAGCTCCTGCTACACTGTTCCACACCCCAGCCCCCAGCTCCTGCTACACACTGTTCCTCACCCCAGCCCCCAGCTCCTGCTACACACTGTTCCACACCCCAGCCCCTAGCTCCTGCTACACTGTTCCACACCCCAGCCCCCAGCTCCTGCTACACACCGACACATTCCCACACGCAAATAATGGGCTCGGTGCAAATTGTTGCGGAATTTAGCGGGGAACTTGGTGGTATTATTTACGGTTATGGTATTGGCAATAGATGATAACGGAGGGATAAAACGTGATCTACAAGAGAGTATCAGGATCTTCGGGAGAGTATGAGGATGCGGTGAGGATAAGGACCTCCCCCGCGCGCCCCGCGGGACTGACTCTCCTGTTTGCCCGCCCGACGGTCGGGGAGCCGTGGTTTCAAACTTACAGATGGGCGTCTGCTTGGTGTCCGCGGGACTCGACGCTGAGGCGCAATCACTCAGCCTGTCACGGTGTTCTCGATGGACAAATGTGTAATTGTCCGAGTGTAATTGTAGATAGTGTGTAGTGAAGATGGTCACTCCCTAGCCACGCCGGCTACACCGTATGTAGCTTAGCATTTTTAAAAGCCCCGAATCACCTTCTGTGGTTGATTGTTCAATAAACCCTTGAACTATATGTTTAACACATCTCTAACCCTGTCCATGGAGGACAGGAGAAAATGTATATATGCTGGTTAGCATTGTAAATGTGTGGCCACGTCTGTGGTAGAAAATAATAATAATAATAATAATAATAATAATAATAATAATAATAATAATAATAATAATAATAATAATAATAATAATAATAATAATAATAAAATCCTAAACTTGATCTTATAAATTAAGTATTCAGGACATCCCATTAAATATTCAAATTCATTTAATTTTTAAAGATTCACTAAGTTATAATTTGCGCGCTTTTTGAAGTGACAGTCTTTTTAACACACACACACACACACACACACACACACACACACACACACACACACACACACACACACACACACACACACACACACACACACACACACAGAGGCTCATGGGTTTAAGTATCAGGCTGCGCCACACAAGCAAGCCCCCGCTGCCTCACTCAGCTAAAGGCATCAACAACAAACCCTTAGCCAGGAATTACCCGCAGCTTAAACCTAACCCTCTGGTCAACTTCCTCCTCTCCCTCTTCCTCCTGTTCCATCTCCTCTTCCTGTTCCATCTCCTCCACCATCCCTTCTACTTAAGGTACTTCCTCCACACACAACGATCTTCAGAGTCGATGATATTGGACGTCTGGGAGGAATAATGGGAAGATATATAAATATATGATACAAACAGCTGTTTGTATCCATTATATTACAAGAGTTTCACACGACAACAAGTTGGAGCTGGGGAAAAGGGCCGTGATTTTTTAATGGGAGATCCAGAGAATAATTGTGAGGGAACTGTAGCCGACTCCGACCTCATGAGAGGCGGGTGTCGGCTACGATACACACACACTACGATACATTCTGGACTGGCTACAATGCAATGATGTTAATTTGCATACGGTTCTGCTTAGCTGCAGACGATCGATGGTAGCCGGGCATTGTGTAAGAGCCGGAATTCATGAGAGAGAGAGAGAGAGAGAGAGAGAGAGAGAGAGAGAGAGAGAGAGAGAGAGAGAGAGAGAGAGAGAGAGAGAGAGAGAGAGAGAGAGAGAGAGAGAGAGAGAGAGAGAGAGAGAGAGAGAGAGAGAGAGAGAGAGGAGGAGGTCGTTTAATATTTAGGTTGGTTCCAGGTGGAAGCGGAGGTTGGTACTGGAGAAGCCTGCTGGCCAACTTACGGCCACCTTACTCTAGCTCGGCAGAGGATCTCACTCTACTTACTCTAGCTAGGATCTTACTCTAGGATCTTACTCTAGCTCGGCGGAGCACAAGAACACAGCATCACAAGAACACAGCAGCACAGGGACGCAGTAGCACAAGGACAGAGCAGCACAGGGACACAGCAGCACAGGGACACAGCAGCACAAGAACACAGCAGCACAAGAACACAGCAGCACAAGAACACAGCAGCACAAGAACACAGCAGCACAAGAACACAGCAGCACAAGAACACAGCAACACAAGAACACAGCAGCACAAGAACACAGCAGCACAAGAACACACCATCACAAGAACACTAGCAACATGCAGAACACTTATGTGGTCACTCGTCCACAAACATGCAAGCTGAAACAACTTTCTTGCAAACACTATTACGCATTCCTGCGGCTCTCCCGCCCTCCCACCACGTGCTAAACTCGACAACAAAATCTCAAATGGTCGCTTCGTGTCACCTAAGGCCTCTCAGAGCTGCCGGGCCCCGAGATGACGCATGGCTCAGACCAACATAATGGGCTGAAGCAGGAGGAATCGGTTGGAAGCGATGGGAGATGGTTGCTATGGGTTGTGGTATGGGAAAGTGGGGAATATGGGGTGAATGGTATGGAATGGGGGGTGACTGAATTAGGACTCTATAAGGAGGAAGGACCGATATACTTGAAGGACGCTTGGTGGGCGTCCAGATAGTAGCTATCTCCTGCTATCTGACCACAGATAGCAGCAGAAACAGCATCAGTAGCAGCAGCACAAGCAGAACCAGCAAACACAGCGGGAGCAGTAGCAGCTGCAGACACAGCAGGAGAAGCTGCAGACGCAACGGAAGCAGCAGCAGATGTAACGAGAGCAGCGCCAGCCACAGCGAAAGCAAAAGAGAGACGCAGGAGCAGACGCAACGGAAGCACCAGCAGATGCAACGAAAGCAGCGCCAGCCACAGCAAAAGCAAAACAAAGACGCAGGAGCAGACGAGAGCAGCAGCAGCCAACAGACCACCAAAGACCAGGCAATTAGAATCCCAATTTTTTTTAACATAAACATAAGAAGAAAAGGAGAAGAAATTGGTGTGCCTCAGCGCTAGGTAATTGGTGTGCCTCAGTATTAGCCAATTCCCTTGGCAATTAGCGCGTCATTGTTAATGAATTACCATGATAATTGGTATCACAGTCTTCACCAATTTTTGGGGTAATTGCTGTCTCTCACTGTCATCCAATTACCCTGGTAATTGATGTGTCTCTCTGTTAATCAGCTCTGTTGGTAATTACTCTAGATCAAACATTTTCTTCCTCACCAGAGGCGAAGGAGATCCTCAAGAACCGAATCATTAGGAGTTAACGAGGCAATTCAAGGTTACACTGATTGTTAATGTTAGTTCACAAATTGATTGATGAAAGGCCAATGTTGGTTCTTCTTGTGACACTGTACCTTTGCTTGACACTTTACCTCGTGTGACACTATTCATTCCGTATGACACTGCACCTTCCAACCATAACTATGTATCTTCACATATGACACAGCACCTTGAGTATGACCCCGTATACTCATACGGGGTCATATGTGCTGTGTCATATGGGAAGTATATCTTCCCATATGACACAGCACCTTGAGTATGACCCCGTATATCTTCCCATATGACACAGCACCTTGAGTATGACTCCGTGTATCTTCCCATATGACACCTTACCTCTACACATGAGAATGTACCTTTCCATAGGACACTGAACCTTTCCAAACGACACCCTACCTTCTCATATGACACGACACCTCTCGTACGACACCGTCCCTTGCAGGTTTCCTCGCTGCCTTACCTGAAATGGAACCAAAAACACCATTAGAGGCAACAAAGACAGAATTAGCAGGAGAGAATTAGTAGAAGAACGAAGAATTAGCAACATGGGGAAATAGAATGGGCAGGGAGAGTGTGCAAAGCCATTTAAAACGGTGAATTAGTATTAATCGACTTAGTCCAACTTAGACCAACTTAGACCAACTTAGACCAACTTAGGCTTCAGTGACACGACAGCTGGCGTGAGTCAGCAGACTAGGAGAGGGGAAGGAAGGGGGAGGGGGAGAGGTGGTGGGGAGTTTGGGGGGATTAGCAGTGAGGGGCTGGGAGTGCCAAGTGCCATGTGAAGGGCTGGGAGTGCCAAGTGTCATGTGAAGGGCTGGGAGTGTCATATGTCATGTGTCATGTAATTAGCTGAAGATACGTTTAGAGGTCTTATGAAAGGCGGGGGAGGGGGGTGGAGTGGGGGTGTCGGAGTGGGGGGGTGTTGGAGTGGGGGTGTCGGAGTGGGGGTGTCGGAGTGGGGGGTGTCGGAGTGGAGGGTGTCGGACTGGGGGGTGTCGGAGTGGGGGTGTCGGAGTGGGGGGTGTCGGAGTGGGGGGTGTCGGAGTGGGGGGTGTCGGAGTGGGGGGTGTCGGAGTGGAGGGTGTCGGACTGGGGGGTGTCGGAGTGGGGGTGTCGGAGTGGGGGGTGTCGGAGTGGGGGGTGTCGGAGTGGGGGGTGTCGGAGTGGGGGGTGTCGGAGTGGGGGGTGTCGGAGTGGGGGTGTCGGAGTGGGGGTGTCGGAGTGGGGGGTGTCGGAGTGGGGGGTGTCGGAGTGGGGGTGTCGGAGTGGGGGGTGTCGGAGTGGGGGGTGTCGGAGTGGGGGTGTCGGAGTGGGGGGGGTTGGAGTGGGGGGGTGTCGGAGTGGGGGGTGTCGGAGTGGGGGTGTCGGAGTGGGGGGTGGTTACTAATAGGTCACGTTTTATTGATCGAGTCCGCAAAAAAAAAAAAATAAAAAAAATAAGACTATTAGGTGAGAGGACAGATTGACATCTGACCTGACCCTGTGACCTCTCCTCCTGCTTTATCACCAGTGCCACTCCTCCCCAGCTTTGACACCAATGCCCACCCCCTCCCGAAGCTTTACCCCCAGTGCCACCCACCCCCTAACACCCCAGTGCCAACCAGTCTATGAACCAGACACTGTCTTCAGTCAATCAAACTCGTGCTTGTCCCTCCAACAAAACAAAGCTGTACACCCCTCGTCCCCTCGTCCCCTCGTCCCCTCGTCCATCCATTATGTCTCCCTCACATGGCCCAACTCTGGCTTCAGGCACCCCCATATCTTGAGAAATCTTGAGATGATTTCGGGGCTATAGTGTCCACCAGGCCTCCACCCCCAGGAAGCAGCCCGTGACAGGTGACTAACATCCAGGTACCTATTTACTGCTAGGTAACAGGTGCATAGGGTGAAAGAAACTCTACCCATTGTTTCTCGCTGGCGCCCGGGATCGAACCCAGGACCACAGGATCAGAAGTCCAGCGTGCTGTCCGCTCGGCCGACCGGCTCCCCCATGGCACCACCAGCGGCTCCACCTCCTTATGAACACAATTATGGCACCAATAACGACCCTACTTAGACGATACAAAATATTATTTACCTATTGTCTGTTTTAAAAGAATCAGTTCGTTTCCATGTACAAAAGGGAATTATCTTAGCAAAGGGCTTCACTCCCCTGTCCCCCCCCCTAACAAAAATGCCCAAAGTCCTTCCCCCTCCCCCCCCCTCGTACCCACTGAAAGGCCTTTGCTAACGCCCCTCACCACCACCCAAATTGCCCAATCGTTAAACATCAGTGAAAATTTAATTCCAGGGAACTCTGAAATTCCCGGAATTGTGGCCCCCTAAATACAGACAGAGGCGTGGCACAGGAACTCTGAAACAATAGAAGGTTCGTCCATTTGTTCGTGAGACACCACGCTCGTGGAGCAAGGTAGTTGAGTCGTTAGTGGTGGAGTTGATGAGTGATTAACCTATTGACGATTTCCAGAGTTGTATCCTCGCAGTCTGGCCGTGGGTGACCAGTCTTGGTGACTGGCACAGTCTGGTTGATCTCGTAACTCCAGCACAAACTTATCCAGTTCTCTTTTGAAAGCTTCCGCTACTGTTCCAGGATAATAGACCTCATCCCGACCACAAGATATCCTAGAGTCCGTCCTCACTATCCCCCAGCATAGTGTAGAGTCCGTCCTCACTCTCCCAGAGCATAGTGTAGAGTACGTCCTCACTCTCCCAGAGCATAGTGTAGAGTCCGTCCTCACTCTCCCAGAGCATAGTGTAGAGTCAGTCCTCACTCTCCCAGAGCATAGTGTAGAGTACGTATTCACTCTTCCAGAGCATAGTGTAGAGTCCGTCCTCACTCTCCCAAAGCATAGTGTAGAGTACGTCCTCACTCTCCCAGAGCATAGTGTAGAGTACGTCCTCACTCTCCCAGAGCATAGTGTAGAGTCAGTCCTCACTCTCCCAGAGCATAGTGTAGAGTCAGTCCTCACTCTCCCAGAGCATAGTGTAGAGTCCGTCCTCACTCTCCCAGAGCATAGTGTAGAGTACGTCCTCACTCTCCCAGAGCATAGTGTAGAGTCCGTCCTCACTCTCCCAGAGCATAGTGTAGAGTCAGTCCTCACTCTCCCAGAGCATAGTGTAGAGTACGTATTCACTCTTCCAGAGCATAGTGTAGAGTCCGTCCTCACTCTCCCAAAGCATAGTGTAGAGTACGTCCTCACTCTCCCAGAGCATAGTGTAGAGTACGTCCTCACTCTCCCAGAGCATAGTGTAGAGTCAGTCCTCACTCTCCCAGAGCATAGTGTAGAGTCAGTCCTCACTCTCCCAGAGCATAGTGTAGAGTCAGTCCTCACTCTCCCAGAGCATAGTGTAGAGTCCGTCCTCACTCTCCCAGAGCATAGTGTAGAGTCCGTCCTCACTCTCGCAGAGCATAGTGTAGAGTCAGTCCTCACTCTCCCAGAGCATAGTGTAGAGTCAGTCCTCACTCTCCCAGAGCATAGTGTAGAGTCAGTCCTCACTCTCCCAGAGCATAGTGTAGAGTCCGTCCTCACTCTCCCAGAGCATAGTGTAGAGTCAGTCCTCACTCTCCCAGAGCATAGTGTAGAGTCAGTCCTCACTCTCCCAGAGCATAGTGTAGAGTACGTCCTCACTCTCCCAGAGCATCGTGTAGAGTCAGTCCTCACTCTCCCAGAGCATAGTGTAGAGTCAGTCCTCACTCTCCCAGAGCATAGTGTAGAGTCAGTCCTCACTCTCCCAGAGCATAGTGTAGAGTCAGTCCTCACTCTCCCAGAGCATAGTGTAGAGTCCGTCCACACTCTCCCAGAGCATAGTGTAGAGTCCGTCCTCACTCTCCCAGAGCATAGTGTAGAGTCCGTCCTCACTCTCCCAGAGCATAGTGTAGAGTCCGTCCTCACTCTCCCAGAGCATAGTGTAGAGTCAGTCCTCACTCTCCCAGAGCATAGTGTAGAGTCAGTCCTCACTCTCCCAGAGCATAGTGTAGAGTCAGTCCTCACTCTCCCAGAGCATAGTGTAGAGTCCGTCCACACTCTCCCAGAGCATAGTGTAGAGTCCGTCCTCACTCTCCCAGAGCATAGTGTAGAGTCAGTCCTCACTCTCCCAGAGCATAGTGTAGAGTCCGTCCTCACTCTCCCAGAGCATAGTGTAGAGTCCGTCCTCACTCTCCCAGAGCATAGTGTAGAGTCCGTCCTCACTCTCCCAGAGCATAGTGTAGAGTCTATTCTTGCCATACCCCCCCCACCCCCACCCCCACACACAGACACACAGACACACACACACACACACACACACACACACACACACACACACACACACACACACACACACACATTAGATGTAACAGAGCTAGGAATGATTACATTAACATAAGACGAGTGTCGGAAAGAAATTATGAGAACGATATTGCAGTCAAAGCGAAAAAGCAACCAAAATTACTACATAGCCATATAAGAAGGAAGATGTCGGTAAATGACCAAGTGACAAGACTGAGGAAACAGAAGGGGCATATACAGAAAGCGACAAGGAAATCTGCGAGGTACTGAATGCAAAATTCCATGGAGTGTTCACTACCGAGCCTGAGCAGCTCCCATTGTTAGAAGAGATTACCCAAGATGAAAGACTATCAGATATAGAGGTGACAGCAGAGGATGTAATGAAAC